ATTCGTTACTGAAAAAAATAACTCCTAATTTGGAATGCGTTACTTTTTAGTAACGAGTAATGTTACGCGTTACTCGTTATACTTATAACTTTTTCAGTGTAACGCGTAATAGTGACAAGCAGGGTTGGCAAATAACGCGTTATTTGTAACGTCATTACCGTTACAAGTTACTTTTTTCGGTAACGAATGAGTAACGACGTTACATTTTTGGGATAATGGTAACGATTTCACTAGTTACTTTTATCGTTACTTTATTTCTAGCAACTGCCACAAAGTTTTAGACGTAAATAAACCGTGTATATATATTTTATATATATATATAAATTTTTGAGCTTTATTCCTCTACCAAAAGATAGAATTCTGACTTTTCTTCAGAATATTTATCGCAAAAATCTGCATATAGTAACGTTTTTCATTGACAGAACTAGTATGCACTCAGTACAATTTAAATCCGTACACACAAATCGACGCAAATGTGTACGATATGTTTAATAAAAATATAGAAACGCGATAAAAAAAAAAACCGCGAAAAAAGTCTTCAATACATTTTATTATGCTATTTGATAAAATAGCATAATAAAATGTATTGAAAATTTTTAAATTAGATAAAATGCTCTTTGGACATCATATTAATTGAGATATTTCATTTTTACATTTCGATTAGAGTAGTGTACAACAGCTTTAATGTGCATTGAATTTTGCCAATGAAAAACGCTATAATATTTTTGTTAGCATCAAGCAAAAAGAGTAACGAAAAAGTAACGATTCGTTACATTTTGAGTATCGGTAACGGTAAACAGTTATTTTTATGGAGTAACGTTGCCAATTCTGGTGACAAGTTACTTTTCAAAGTAAGTTTTCTAATTTTAGTACAACCTTAGCGTTTAGTTAATTAGCGTTACCGTTATAAAAAATTGCAACATTGTCATCAAATTGTTTATAAAATACAAAGTATAAAAAATACAAAGTAACTGAAAAATAACGTTTGACCTATGTATGCCCATATATCATATACTTTTTCTTCATAAATATCATAATTTATTGAAACAATAATTAAATTTCGGCCGAAACCGAAATTTCGGTTGTGTCAATTTTGGCCAAAGAATATAAGTACTTCTTTTTTATAAATATCATAATTTAATTATTGAAACAATAATTACACATATTAAAATTAATATTTATGAAGAGAAGAGCTATATGGTTTCAGTCGAAATCGATACGTAATAAGTGTTCGTTTTCAGTTTCGATAAAGTTTCGGTCGGACTCTACTAGACTGGCATCCGTTCCGAGAAGCTAAATTACACGTCGTATCTGAGTAGCTATGTCTTAGGATGTATGGATCTCGTCAATGTTTATGTGAGCGATGAAACGCAGTCTCATCTGCAATGCCGGCCTTAGTCTTCGTATAATACATTCCACCTCATTTTTGGTCATATCACCGACGAACATGTACTTGATATGATACCTGTCGCGATTATTAAGGAAAATATAAATGGGTACCTGTATAAAAGTCTCTTTCGATAAACACATTAGAGAGTAAAATACTTTCAAATTAATTTCTATAGGCTATTCGAATTTATATCTTTGTATTTAACGTTTAATCTTTCGGTGATAGATTAAAAATAAAATAATTTTAAAAAATTATCGAAAATTGTTTCCAAATTAAAAAAAAAAAACTTAAAGTCATATATAAAGGATACAATAAATCGCAAATTGAATCCATGTAATTCAAGGTAGTTTGAGTGTGATCAACTCGTTCCAGCATTTCGTACAGGCAGACTGCGAGTTCGACTACACAATGCGGTCGCTCTGCATTAAATCTCGCCAAAGTAGGGCCGATTAGATGACAGGCGTATATTAATTGTTCCTCGCTACTTACAACTGGCTGAAGTTTCTCCTTGATAAATCTAAAAGGCAATTATTTATTATTGATTTATAACAAAAATAAATATTAAATATAATAAAATTTCTATTTTTAAGTGTCGATTTTGTCTCAATTTTCTTTTATATATGGTAAACAAAATTATATACTATATATTATAATTTATTATATTATTTATAAATATATATTTATATAATTACAACTTACTGAGGCATCGTTGTGATCTGTCCTACACCTGCATGATGCCACACGGAATGTGCCAGTGCAAGCATGTAGCTATACTTGTTTTCTAATAGACTATTATGCGTGATGTTGAAGTTAAACATTTGAAACGGAGTCAAGTTATTGTATTGCCAATTGATCAAGCCGGGGCTGCTGATAGTCTCCAGCAAACGTTTGTGCAACGCTGACCAATAACATTCGGGTAACGCCGCCAGTAATAATCCAACACAATTTATCCATAAATGTATCTCGTCTGATGGAACAACAGTATATCTGTGTGTGAATGAGATAAATAATAAAATTAAAATTATACAAAATTACAAGCAGTTTTTGTTGTGTTCTAGAACAGTAGAATTGTAAATCCCATATGCAAATTTTAAGATAAGAAAAATGGTACCCTTTAGCGACAACGTCCAGTAGGAAGTTAGCCACCGCATCTGGAGCAACTGGAAGAGCCATGAGTTCGACACAAGTCACATACAATGCATGCGCTGCTGGATTTGGGAATTCGTTGAATCTCCAATCGGTAGCAGGGAAGTGAGCCGTGCCGGACATTGCTTTAATACACACACACACATACACACACGACTATTAAATTAATAAAATAAGTAACTTCTGATAGGTATAATCCGTGGATTGCCTTTTGTTTAAAGAAAAGTTTCAAAATCTATCAAGAAATTTATGAACGGAGAAAGAATTTAGCATTTGTTTCTTATTATATATCTTAATTTTTAATAAATATATTGTAACTAACAAAGTTTATTGTTCGTTTAATCCTTTATTCAAAGCTCCGATTTATTTTCATTCAAAAAGAATTCTAAGACTATATAATAATTTACACATCTTTACCCTGGTGGAAAAATTTCGTTGAAATTATTCCATGTTTTGGAACACTTTTCGGTAAAATTTCAACATTTCACAAAAATTTCAATTTAATTTCAGTGATTTCAGCAAAATTCCAGCAAAAATTTCAGAGAAATTTCAGAGTAATTTCAGTTCAGTTTCAACGATTTTTTAGTATATTAACTGAAAGATTCACTTTCAGTGAAATTTCAGTGAAATTTCAATGAAATAATATATTAAAAAATTCAGCAAATTTTCAACAATTTCGCTGAAATATTCCAAAACATGAAATTTCAACGAAATTTTTTCATCAGTACTAATTTATAGAAACACAATCGTAATAGCGAACAAAAATATGAATTGTTATATAATAAAACTTTGGTTGTCTTACTTTCTACAATTCTTTGAACCAGTCGAATGTAATAATCCAACTCTGGTACCCATGAAACTGCATCGTCATTGAAACGTGTCATATACATTTGATAAGCCTCCGAAAGAGCCCATCCTGGCGCTCTTATTTCCCGTAATGATCCCAAAACAGCGGATACCAGTCGACGTTTTAACAACGGCCGATCTCGCAACTTCTTTTCGTAATAATGTAACGTATTGTAAAGATACGTAACTGGTCGATCTGAAAATCATAATTGCCTTCAATCAAATAAGGTTTAATCAATTCGTCGAAAGAAATCTACTTTCTCTCTAGTTGCATTTTTATTGAAGAAAAAGAGAATACGTTCCAACACTAAATTTTAAGAATTAATTTGTGTATCTTTTTTTTACATCATTTTGTATGGGATAATGATCGATTCATATTCAAAGTCTCGGTTCGATCCAATCTCATCCCATATATATGTTTTAGTTTATAAAAGCTGGAGAATTACAAATTTCTTTATGAAAAAATATGAGATTGCGTAGTAATCAAATTGTAACTCGTTTTAGAAACACTAAATAAATAAATATATATATATATATATACAAGTATTATATTACATGATAGAAGAAGATTTTTTCTTTCCATCTAGTGAGAATTGATAGTTTTATTACATACCATGAAATTTGTACAAACAGCCTAGATGTTCCAATAATATTTCCAAACTCTTGATAACAGGTGGTATCTCCAGATATCGGTGCACTACTATGTCGAAAACTGGTAAGAAGCGAAGACATACATTCCCGAAGTACACGGGCAGATTTTGATACTGGCTGGGCCCCCCACTAGTTTGTTCCATAATACCTTCCGGTGCAAACTTTTCTGGGAATTTTCTGTGAAAAGCGAGATGCTTCTCATGCCAATTTGATTGTTTCCAATGCTCTGGCGAGTTCTCTTTCACAAATTCTTGTACCCGATTTCTAAATTCAGCCGCTTTCAATAACAACAATTGTATGATGAAGAAGCACACTTGTGCTTCATTACCCTCTTGGGTT